GAGGCCTGGCCGCGGGCGGGCCTCTCGGCCCCTGCCCGGGCACAAGTTGGAGTGTCCCTGGGTTCGGAGCCTCGAGGTGTCGCCTTCGCACCCACGGCTGTCGAGCACCGCGTGCTCTGGGAGCCGCTGGCCGGGAGCGTCTGCTGGGCTGAGTGGAGGTCGGGGGGCCGAGAGCAGCTTGGGGAGGCACCTGGTGCCCCAACTGTCCGCCCAGCCGTGGCTTTGTGCCAGAGTTTCAGTTCTGGACAGCGGTGGCTGGTGCCTTGTCGCCTCTTAATGAAACGCTGCATCACACAAGTCTAGCCCGGCCCCGCGGAGGTTCTGGGAGAAAACCAAACCCCGTGTGCAGGGGACAGAGTCCTCTCAGTGGTGCCCAGCACTTACTGCTGTGTGTGTGATAGGATTAAATACTTTAGGTTCTCTCCTGGAGTTTTGTGTGTGGTGGAGAAACTCAGGTCACTTTTTTTTTTTTTTTTGGTCTATGTTGATACTCGGGAACTGCACCAAGAAAACCTAACTGCTCCCCACACTCCAAAGCAGGGTTGATTTTCTCTCCATCAGGCACAAGAGTGCCCATACAGCCTCATTGTTACTTTAGGGAATCTGCCAGAAGTTGTAGAAATAGGGGTGTCTGTGAACTTTTGGGTGAAAAGAGGTGCTTTAATAGATGTATTCTGCGTCGGTAGGACTTAGCTCTGTACCAGTGCAGTGGCAAGTAGAGTTCTTACTGTTTTTCGTGGAGGATGGTTCCCATGAAGGAATGCCCAAGGCAAGTTTCCTGTGGGTGACATCATGGCTGGGTGTCAGCAGGTGGGTGCACCCGCAGCAGTGTCCTAGCCTGTAACATTGCAATGCTTGGCGTTGTGCCTCTGTCGCATGTGGAGATGTCTGCCTGAGCCCCCGTGACCGAGACCCTAGGCCAACACTCAGCTGAAGAGAGTGCTTCCCTGTTCTCCATGAGCGGAACTCAGTTCAGCCTGCTGCTCTGCACAGTGAACTGACTAAAGCAGCCTACTGGAGATGGTGCTCTGGCCAGGTAATGGTTTTGTGGTTCTTGTGATTGAAATCTTGGTAAACACGTATACATCTGTATAGAGTGAATTGCCATCCCTTTCTGTGTCCAGGGTCCCGGATTTGCAGATGAGGTCTCTAGGCCTGAAAATGGAGCCCTGCCGGCCCTCCTGCTTTGTGCCTCTTGTTCCAGGGCCAGCGTCTGCCTAGATCACAGAGGCGACCGATGTCCCTAACCTTTTTTCTCCTGCCAGTCTGTTCACATAGCCTGCCAGCTGGCTGAGTGCAGTTGATAAAGGATATGTGAATTCTTGCTGCCTGCCCATCACTAGATAAAATGAAATGCAGAGAAGAAGGCCCTCTCTTTAGAAGTATTGAAAAAGAGAGCAAATGTGAATTCTTCAGTGTATTCCTGTATGTTGAGCATCCCTGAGTGTGGGAACCCAGAGCAGATGACAGAGGCCATCCATCCGTTGGTACATGTGCAGCAAGCGAGGGTCTCACTGGAGCCCTCTTGCAGTCTGAAGGGGACATGTAGTGCAGAGGCTCCAATAGAGGGGGTACCGTGATCTGGAATCTATGGCTTTCTGGGCTGGAACTTGGCAGCAGCCCCCAGTGCTGTCTTAAGTTGTCCAGTAAAACCCTGAGAGCTCTAATGTACCCCGTGTCTCTGTACACGTTCTTCCTGTCTGTCCTGGGGGTGCTGGGCAGAGTCTTGGCTGGTTTTGCAAGAGGAAGGTCCTTTGGTGGTCTCGATTGGCTTGCTTTCTGTCAAGGTCCTAGGTCTGATCCATACACGGGTGTGAGGAGGATCTAGTTAGTTCTCTTAGGAGGGAGGCAGAGGGCTGTCTTCTTCCTCCTGCCCAGCGTTATTTGTGAGGAAGAGCCAGGGTATTGTGGGTTTCTGTAGTACAGGCGAGGCCTTTCAGAGATAGGTGGGGAGGCAGTGTGTGGAGCAGGGCTTGACTTGTCAAAACTTCTTTTTCTACTTTGTTTTTATAGTGCTGCCTAGTGAATTAGGGCCTTGTGCATGCTAGGCAAGAACTCTGTCACTGAGCTACACCTGCAGCCCCCATATTTCTTTTAAAATGATCTTGGTTGTTTGAAGATGTTACATGTCAGATACTGTTGTAGCATTAATGTTTGTGTTAACTTTCATTGGTTTCTGGAACTGTTACAAGCCCACTTTTATAGAGAGAAACTAAAATAGAGAACTCTCATAAAGCTGTGACCCAGGTGAAATGTTACCCAAGGAGCCTGGCCGCTTTGGTCATTATGCACCTTTGTCTGGATCCTTGTCCATCCTGGCTTTTGTGTCCAGTTTGCACCGCAGAAAGACCTCATGTTACGCTGTTAATTGGTTGGTTGGTTGGTTGGTTGGTTTTTCTCGACAAGGTTTCTCTGTGTAGCCCTGACTCTCCTGGAATGTACTCTGTAGACCAGGCTGACCTCAAACTCAGAAAGATCTGTCTGCCTCTGCCTCCTTAGTGCTGGGATTAAAGGCATGTGCTACCACACCTGGTTTATAAATTGATTTTTTTTTTTAACTCTAGATGTGAAACTTCTGGCTGCCTTTGTCTTCTGATGGGTCTCAGAGGTCCTTTAGGTGATGGTACCAAACTTCTTGCCATCTTAGTACTCTGCTCCGAT